TTAAAATTACATGTAAAGTACCTAATTTAGATGACCGCCTCAATCTGAAAAATTTCCAGAAAGATACACTTTTTTTTTTCCTAGAACCTGCTATTGGGACGTAATCCTGCAGTATTCATAAGGGTCCCAAAAAAAAAAAAAAAAAAGACAAAAAAAAAAAGACAAGTAAGAAAAGAGAGAAAAATACTAATTACGTAGTGACATTGTAGAACAAAATATATACAAACAAATTCCAAAGATTCCTAAATCCACATGTAGATAATTTAAAAAAGCATTCTGGCTATCAAATATACACAGTAAAAAACGGGGTGCTCAGCAATTCTGAAAAACAGTTTAATTTTTAAAATTTGCTACATACAAAGTTTGTAGCTTGTCAGTAGGTAGTCTTTTACAAAATTGTTGCGAATACTCTTTAGTTTACCTAAGAATATTCTAGTTGGTTTTGAAATCAGAATTATAACTAGTGGAGTTAGAGTCACAGCTTCTCCTGAAACATAATGGATTTGTGTGCCTGGGTGCCTGAAGTTCTCTGGAAATTACAGACTGAAGGTCTATCCTGCAAACTAAGACATGAATTTACTGCACAACATTGCTACCTGTTATAACAGCAATCAGCAGTTTCACACACACATTTCTAGTCTCTCCCTCTTTATAGTAATTTTCTTCATAGCCTCTTGATCTCTCACAAATCAATGAATGATTTATGTTGTGGTACAGTTCCATTATGTGTAGATGATTGGAAAATCATATTTGATTTTCTCTGACCAAAAATTACAGGAATTCATATCATGATGCTGTCTTTACAGATGCAAACCATCTGTGCTGCTTTGCTCAAATTCCTCTAAAATATAATCGTAGCTGATGGAGGTCTGGTTCAGTTAAATGCATCCATACGGTAACATTCTCACATCCCCCATTACCAGAAAGTTATATTAATTTTGTGCTCATAAATAAATAAATAAATATTCTAAAACACAAGAAGATGAGATAAAAATAAAATAGCTATGCTGTATCAATAGTATCCCATGCCTATAGTTGGGTAATATAATTTTCACCTAAATCATATTCTTGCAGAATAACACACAATTTCAACCAGAAAATTAAGACAGTGTATCTGACATTTCCTACAATATCTCTGATTGGAAAGTGGACAAAGACTCTATTGTTACCATTTACTTCCCAGCACTTGAAACTGCTTTTTTTCTTCCTCTAAGGATGAATTCAGTGGAAAAATATGAGAAATTAGTAGATGATATGACTTGAGGAAATACAGACATAAGGAACACTAAAAATGAGATAGACTACGCTAATATAACTACAACATTTGTTTAGTATGTAAGATCATGACAATTCAGCTAAACAGAAAGTTGGTGAAGTTAATTCATGTAACTGTCCAAAGAGTATGAACTCGAATATAAACAATATGCTTTAAATGACATATGAAGCAAACAGACTTTAATTTTGTTTTGAAATCCTTCCTCCTTTAATTAATGAATTAGGCTAGATTTAACTAGCTCTGATCCAGAGTAAACTTTAGTATACAAAAGATATACAGACCCTAAATTAATCCGAATTAAATACCAAATCCAAATGTCTCAAAATACTGCTTTATTTAAGAGCATAAGTAATTACTTATCCTTACAGACTTGGAAAAGATTAGAAGCAGGCTAGAACAACAAGGTACAGTCTTTCCAATTATTCCAAAAAGAAACTCTCATTAGTATATTAAGGATTATAAAGTATGACATACTAAAAGATTTAGAAGGTGATTCTCACTTAAATATTATAAAGTGGCTACAGTAGAATTCATAAGTGTTTTAAGGCTACTTGCTTTGCTTGCATGCTATGAAGCAGTTTTAACGTGAGAATCAAATATATACTTTGCCTAATGGTTCAAAATTTAACCACAGGCCAAGCACTGAACAAAACATAATTAATGAAGTCTGACTAATCCACATGAGTGAGATTTTGTATTATGAACAGATACAAATAAGCAATCAATTTAAATTTCTTGAAAAACAATCACGCATTAGTCTAGAATAACATGCTGTAAAACACTATGCTGTCACACAAAATATTCTACTGAATAGCATGCATAACGATAAGTAATAACTGAAGTTCAACACAATGCTGCACTTTTTTGCTGAGATAGTAGGTAAGAGGAGTGGTAGCAACCGGTTTGAGAATGGATTTATGAACTGAGATAGAGTTAAATTCACCCATAAAGTTTCTGCAAGGAAAACATGTTCAGCTTGTATGAGTATCATATCAAAGAGAGATCTCGGGTGTTTTCTGGGAGAATTGTTCTATGCCCATTGTGGTCAAATTCTGAACTATGTCACATATTTGTATGAAATGAAGGAACCAGATGAACTCTGAAGTTCAAAATACTGTAGTATTTCATATTTGTCTTGTAATTTGTACAAACTGTTTCCTTTTGCCAGCCAGGAAAAATATAACTACTTTAACAGCTGATATTAGGCATGGTGAACATAAACATCAGTTGACCCTATATACTGAATAAGATAAAAATGACTTAAAGTACTAGTTCTTGCTTCTGTTGTTGTGAGTTGACAGCAGTAATTTATTCCCAGGTCCCCCCATCAGGCTGATGGATGGTGAGAATAAGAAGGAAGGACGCGTAGAGATTTTTATCAATGGCCAGTGGGGCACAATTTGTGATGATGGATGGTCTGATAAGGACGCAGCTGTAGTCTGTCGACAGCTTGGCTACAAGTAAGAAAACTCATTAAGCTGCTTCTCAAGTTATCTCTTTGCTGTATCTAAAAATGTTAAGTTTCTGCAACTGAATATCACCAACATACACTTGATAACGTAATATATGCCTTTTAAAACTTCTCTGTTTGGCATTAAGAAACATAAATTCTAGTGCTTTTGTGATTTGATGTAATTGTATACGTAGAAAAACCTTTGGGAATTTAAAATGCCTTTTTCATTATATTAGACAAAATGTAAGTATTCAGAACTTAGATTTAGTTTACTGCAGTTTACTGAAATCATCTGGAATTTGGCTAAAATTTCAGGGGTAATGGCTGTATTGTTTCAAAAAGCTCCTGATCTGTTTTCACTGAAGGTTATAATTTTGCATATTGTTAATACTTATTTTTGTGAGCCTTAATGATGACTTTGACATCCTTACAGGTTCTAACATAACTGTTAAAATTTTTAATGGAATATAGCTACAGGCCAGTGTTCACTGTCACAAGATGAGGATATGGTATCTGCAGATTCAGATGTAGGCACACCACCCACTGAATTCCTAGTTTTATGGGTTTTTTTCCCTTCATTTACTGGTCTGACATGACTCAATGTAGCTTGGAGATTTGATAAAACTGTTACACAAAGGATTATGGCTTCAGCCTGTATGACAGTAATTTCAATACGCTAAATTTAATATAGGAATAAACCTGACAGGAGAAAAAAAACCTCTCATTAAAAAAAGCACTGCAACGTATACATGCCACTTTTGAACTAAGTTGCTTAATCAGGCTTACATCATTCATAAGCAATTTTTTTTCTGGATACCTAAGAGCAGTAAAGATGTAAAAACTACAGGACTGGCATGTAAATAGCAGAACAAATATGAGCTGAAAAATATCCAGAACATTAGTGAAATACAACAGGAAACTAGTGAAACGTCTTCTCTGAGAAATACAAATCATGTTATCCGTTTGCTGTATCTAACAACGGTTAGTTTGTGCAACCAGATATCATCAAATTATGTCTGAACACATAATATATGCCTTTAAAAACTGTCTGGTATTTGTTTAGTAAAGCATATTTATGAGTAGCAGTAGACTATGGCTTCAAAACTACAAATCTCCCACTGAATCATTCACTTAGTCTGCTTTATCATCAGCCTCTCTGGTCTTTTATGTATCTCCTTCAGATGATCAAAATCAACCACTTATCCCCACCTTTTGTTTTTATATCTCTGCAAAAGCAGACGGTTGGCTGGATTTTCAATTTGTGTCCTGTCAGAATAGGGGGTTAAGATTATGGGATACAACAGAGCACATGTTTCCTGAAGAATCAGGGACAGACACATTTTAGAAATCTAAAATTAGGCTCCAGAAATTGGGAGAGCTTGTCGGAAATGCTGGATCTTGGTGACCCTATGTCTAGACAGTTGCATTCCACAAACCTGACTATGCCATTACATGCACTGATGAGCTGGAATTGCTTCTGGGCCTAGGAGTTCATGCCCAGATCTTTTTGCTGAAGTTCAAATTCTATTCAGTGGTCACTTCACTGTTTCAAAGCAAGGATGGGGCCTCTAGGTTGATGCACCTGAGCTTAAGGCTTGATGAATGTTTTCTCTTTAGAAATAAAGACATTATGACCTTTTGGAAAGAATTAAAAAAGCACCTAATACTGAAGTTGACATCAGTTTTCTTTAAGACTGATCACAGAACTAAACAGTATCATTAAACTCCCTTTACAATGCTATGTTTAATTCTCAAGTCTTTCCTGCCCGGAAATTACATCCCTTGAGGGGGCAGGAGAAGGGGGAAATCACACATTTAGTATTAAAAATGAGAGAAAAGAGTGCCTTAAAAAGGAAGACTTGTGTAAGCAAAGGATAAGCAGAGAAAACGGACTGAGTTTTTCCTACATATGTTACTTATATTGTCAATGCTTATCTGTACATTTATTTTATGAAATCCTGCTTCGGAACATTTGTAGCCATTTACTAGGGTTCATTCTGAGACTGAAATAAGAAAAACCCTGATTTGGCAAAATCACTAGGTTCAAAGCAATACTAGTTTTAAAGATGTCTCATTAAGCCCGTTTGGCAAATTCAAGATGAACGTTAGAAAAACATAATGTAGAGAATATTAGAAAACAGCCCTACTAATTGGCTAAAATCAGTCATAAAAATAATTAATAGCACCCTAGTCAAAGTATATTTGCAGCAAGATAAACTCAAAGAGAACAAACACCTTTTCTGAAGTACTATCTACTATGTGATTTGGTTTAACATAAAAAAAGTGTTTTGGCATAATGAGTAAAGAGCAAAAGACAGTTTTTGAAGCTCTTGCATTTTAGTGAATTAAGTGGCCCAGTAAAATCGGACTCTTTTAATTTAGGACAGGCTTATAAGAACACACATGCAACCCTCCTCACCTTCCCCAAAATGAACCCTGCTATTAGTGCTCTGCAAATTATCTACTACAGGAAAAAAAAAAGTTCTAGGGTAGTTGGCCATCTCTACTAAGCCAGTTTTTTCCTGATTAACAGTATTATGAATAATGGTAATACTGCATCGGAAGAGCTCAGCATGTTATTGTGTAGGGCCTTATGTCTGAGAAAAGCTAGGGGACAAGACCTGAAGCGGCCCTTCTCTCTAGCGGCAGATCTGAGCAAGCAAAAAGGTTGTTTCTCTGATGGCCATCTGTGCATAAATAGCTGGCCTGGAAAGCAGCAATTAAGAGACACATATAGCTTGGTTAAGGGTAGACTAAAACCAGTTGTAAGAGCACATTCCAGCATGTAACAAACAGATATGATGTAACACTTCTACATTTAGAGATCTCCCCATTACATAATTTTCTCTATTAAGCTGCACTACTCGCTCCAGACCATCAAAATTTTTACATTTGTTTCCTGGTAGTTGTTCTATTTATATAGTAGGGTTTTTTTTGTTAAGAGTGGGTATGTACAAACCCCTCATAGCAATTACCAGCAAACTGACAGATTACTTACGCACAGTAAGAGACAGCTTTCATAGAAAGGTATGAAGAATCTTTGCAGTCCAAGTCCCATGATTCAGTTCATGTCAATGCATGATTGCACTTCATACACAACAAGCTCCCTCCTTCATCTTTGTCTCTTTACACCTCTTTTCACCTAAAATATTTACATATGCAACCTCATAGATGTCAGAATATTCTTTGAGATTTACTTGGAAAGCCAATGCAGGCAATGCCCTTATAAAGTAGCCAGTAAGAGTCTGCAGAGACAATTCTATACTAAACTGCAAAAAATACTTCTCTGGGAAAGGTTAAGAATACTGTGGTGATTCACCATGAAGAAGTTTTCATACCCTGAGGAACTTTACAGCAATGCCCTAAAGCAGAAACCTTGTTTTTGACATAGAGATAAAACCAGGTAAGATTTTGCAACGAGTGCCTGTACTGTCTCACTATTTTGTAATAGCACATAGATACATAAGTTGCCCATGGTTATCAGAGAGCTGGACATTTTTTGTAGTTATCTGTAATCAGAGTATCATTCACAAAAGAAAAATATTTGGAGCGAAAACAGACACATTGCTTGTGACTGACAAGTTAAATCATACTAAACTCATTAGGCAAAGATTGTCCTATGCTGGTTCCAAAGTCATTTAAGGCTTTGGATTACCTGGTAACTACACACTAGCCATGGAAATTAAAAATGTCTAAGGATAGTTGACCTTGTGGTATCATCTCTGTCAGATGTTCTACATACTTCTCTTTCCTGACTTTTTATAATTCATGCAATCTAACCAACATTCCCTTCTTAGAAAGCCTGCCTGCCTACCCGTCAGTACATGGTAAAAAAATCCAAACAGGCAAGGCTTTCTGCTTGCAAGTTTGAAAAAAAAAAAAAAGGAAATTTCTATGTACTACTTCCATATTTCAGTTATATGGATATGGGCAATTGAGGGCTGGATTCTTTGAGTTTGATCCAGCCACACTTCTAGTATGAAGAAGTTTTGAAAATGGTATGACAAATCAAAATTCTCCCCAACAGACAATCCCTGGCTGATGTGGGGAGATAAACTCTTTATGCAATGCTAACCTATCTTCCCCAGCATTGCAGGTAATAAGAAAGGTATAAAAAGAGGTGCAAAGGGAGAGAAATACTTTCTTGCCCAATACATTTTCATGTTAAACTCTCTTTCTCTACTCCAGCATTTCATTTACATTCAGTTACTCTTTCGTATACATAGAATACAATATGCAATTATAACATATCCTTTAAAATGGAAATCTATGATATAGTGCAACATTTTAGTCATCTAGAATTCAGTGTATTCTTATCACCATAAAATATCAGTAAACTGCTCTTAACTGATTATGTAAGCTTGTAGTTCAGACACACCTAGAACCAGCTGTGGCTTCCTGCTCCACTTCTCTATATAGCTGGTTGAGTTATCTCCACTCATAATTCTCTTAAACCACATACAACAAAACATCTATTTATATATTAAGAAGCATTATCCTAAGTAATTAAAAGTAAAAATCTACCATAAAGTTACCAAATCAGATGCTTACATGCACAACGCATGTTGGTTTTTTATTGCATTTTTTCATCCACTCCCTCATTTGGGAAAAAAGTTCACCTTTCAAAAGAGGTCCTTCACTCAACTGACACTGCGGTCATTGCTGAAGCTGCAGGGCACTGCATATAAGCTATAAGGATCAGGACTTCAAACCCTAATAAAATGTCCTAAGTTTGACATCTAAGTACTTAGGTTTGCTACTTATCCTCATACAAGCATAGGATTATCATACTGACCTTCTTTGTAAAGTGCCTTGAGGCCTATGAATGATGCCGCCACACGAGCATGAAGTATGGGGAAAAGGCGGGTGCTGAGACTGAACTGGGTTCAGTCTTTCTCCAATCGCACTACAGTTTTAGAACTCAACCGCGGGGCGCACTTTAAAAATAGCACAAAAATGATATATGTTAATAACTATTAACAACTAATGTATCTGTAATGGTAGCTCCTACTACACTGCAAGTATATTGTATTTGACTAGCCCATCTTTCTGAGGGAATCAGACCAGAACAAATTATTTTTAGCATTCACAGATGCTGATTTTATGTAAGGTTTAAAGAGATTATGAAAAAGCAGCTTTCACATATTTTGCTTTATAGGTATTTGTAATGCTATTACAAGATGTTACTTTGCATAGTGCCTTCTAACTACATACATAAAATCAGTTTTTAAACATTAATGAACTGTAGCAATTTTGTTGCACTTCTTTTTTTCTGCTTACCAGAGTAACAGAGGCAATGAGAAGATGTCATCAAAGTGACAGGACTTAGAATAAAACCTCAATGCCTTTCATGACTCAGTATTTCACTCAATATTTCAGTTGAGTAAAATGTAGAAATATTTGCCTCAAAATGTTTAATACTAATAAAAAAAAATGCTCTGTTTCCAGAGGTCCAGCTAAAGCAAGGACAATGGCATATTTTGGGGAGGGCAAAGGCCCGATCCACGTGGATAACGCAAAATGCACAGGAAATGAGAGATCCTTGGCAGACTGCATTAAGCAGGACATTGGTACGCACAACTGTCGTCACAGCGAGGACGCAGGAGTCATCTGCGACCACCTAAGCAAGAAGAACCCTGGGAACAGCAATAAAGGTGAAGCCCCATTGTGAGTTGCAGACCAAGAGGTTGAGATGGGGAATTGTCACAGTAGAAAGAGACGACCGTAAACAAACCCATCTCAAAAAAGAAATAGTTATATCAAAAGAACTATAGAAACAAAAAGTGGTGGGAAATCTTCTCTGGTTACACTGAGTGATCTTACTGCTGTGCCAGCTGTGCAAAGGAATCATAAAGACTATTCCAACAATACAGAGTAATTGTCTATGATAGCTTACAGCAGTCATGTTCCTTAAGGGACATGAAAATGCAAAAACCTAGACAGCTACTTTCAACTTTTCAAGGTATAGGTTACCTTCAGCTGAGGATTAAGACCTATGTGGTATGACAAGCTCTGCTTCCACTTACATGAAGAACCCTATTAAAAAAATCCTACACTTGAGAGGCAGAGCACAAACATCTAAATTGCTCTGTGATCACAGTCAAAAGATCTCAGCTAAAAAGAATTTCTATGTCTGACAGAATTTGGTGTATTTTCCCTGAGCAAAATTTGGTTGTTAAAAACTACCATGAAACAGAGAGTACCTTCAGCCTTCGGGGTTTGTTTTGTTTTGTTTTGTTTTTTTTAGTTAACTTTTATTGAAGATTGGCTACTTTTCATTTTCAGTTTAATGCTGTCTACATCTCCCTTTCTGGTTTAGATTCTCTTGCTTCTGTTTGTGGATTGAGGTTACTACATCGTCGACAAAAGCGAATAATTGGTGGGAAAAATTCCTTACGGTAAATATTTGGTAAAGACAAGTAATTTTGAAAATAAAGCTTCTAAGACATGTACTTGCTACAAACAGTGTGCCTAATTTATGGTTTTATGTAGGGTTTTTTTTTCTTTTGACTTGTCATGAGGTAGAAGATGAAATATACTGAAAGAAAAATTGGTAGGAAATTTAAAAATATTCATTGATAAATACTTGCAGCATTAGTTGAAAATCTGTAGATGCTTATGGGTTTAGTCCTTGATTGGGTTAAATTTCTTACTTTCAAAATAACCATTTTACTTTTTTCAAAGGATATCTTGGTATCAGGATGTGAGCTGTATGAAGGGAGCCATGAATACAGTACAAGGTTTTAAATGGTACCTACACTGAAAAAAAGACCTGGGCATGATTTACTGCCTGAGACCTGATTTTCTTTCACAAAATAAGCCTTGATGATGACACAGCTATAAATCCAGTTTGTCCTTAGCTTTTAATTACATGTTTACATTTAGTTAATATAAACAGATTAACTGAATAATATTACTACTATTAAATGCTATGACAGGAAGTACAGGCTTTATTTTCTGAACAATTGTGAGTAACCATAAAAAACATGTATTCACAGAGTCTTACAAAAGGAATTGCAAAAAATACACTTCACTGTGTGATCTATTTCAAACTACATGCACAGCCTCAATCAGTCCATTTCAAAAAAAGACACTGCCTAAGACACTGGAGGAGCTTCAAAGAACAGTAAGAGAGAGTCCAGAAAAACATTTAAGTGCAGACAGAGTGAAGTAGGATTACTTACCCTAGTCAAGAGACAAAGGAGAATAATAAATAACACATTGCACAGATAAAGAATATTGAGAATTATTGTCTCAGAATATGTGTACAAAAGACACTGGATGAGATGAAATGGAGACAAATTATGGACTCCACAATAAGTCAAAGCAATAAATTTGATCTCATAATAAATAAGCTTGGGGACATCAGATGAAGAAAAAGGTGAGTGAAAATAAATAGTGATCTTAGAAATGCTTCAAAATCAAGAAAATATGAACAATATCAGAAAAGGACTCATTGTCACAAGAACTGATTAAGACAAAGAACTTAACAAAGGCTGAAAAGGAACTGAATACTTACATACATACCAGCAAATCCAAAACTATCCAAATTACCCCATTTGGAAAGACATATTAAATCACACCTTCCAAAGCTAAAAAAATGTCTAAATTGTTTTATGCTTTATGGGAAGTAAACTCCTCCACATTACTTTAAAACATTTGGCACTGGCAACTCTGGAATAGGATGCTGGCCTAGAAGATCCTGGGCAGCTCTTGTACTCTAGCACACCCATCCAACTTGACAGTAGTCAGAAAACACCTAGGCCTACCTGCTGCTTATTCTTGGATATTGCTGTTGCTTACAGGTCCACCTCTCTCCCTTTCCCTTCTCTTCGACTCTGTATTTTGCTAATCTATTAAACTGGCAAAAAATAATCCACCCTATCTTTACAGGCCTGCAAATACATACCCCAGACCTACTATATAAAACAGATGATCAAAGGCTGAATAAAGGTGCTTATCTGTTACTTGCGGTTTCTACAGTTGCTTTAGACCTCTTGGTTTGCCAGCTTCCCTTTTCAAACAGCTCAGAACCGACAAAGATATTAACACAGACAGGAAAGGACGCTGGCTTAAGCTTTTCAAGAAATTCCCTTCTTTACCCTCTCCAGATGACAGGAAATTTCTGGTTTGTTGACTTGGATGGTATTTGGCAAGGAACTCATAGAATATACTTTGGCACAAATGAATGCAATCTGAGAAGGGAAAATTAAAATAACTGACAGTGGGAGGAAGCGCTCAAGAGTGCCGGATGCCCCCAAAAAAATCTGTAAAGTAATCCTGACCATTGTTAAATGGAAATCTGAATCCTGCAGGAATACAAAGGCATTCTCAACTGTTACTTAATAAATAACATGGTTTGCAGTCAAAGAAACTAAAGAAGATTTACATTTAAGGTGACTGACAAACTACCTTACTTTTCCATTGTTGTACACTAAATGCAATGTCTTATGTCCTCTACAGAGGCGGCTGGCCATGGCAGGTTGCACTCCGACTGAAATCTTCTCATGGTGATGGAAGACTCTTGTGTGGTGCTACTCTCATCAGCAGCTGCTGGGTCCTCACAGCTGCACACTGCTTTAAAAGGTAGGTATCTCTTCAATAGTGAAGTGCATTTTCAAACTATTTTGTTGTTTTGGGTATAGGCAAAACCATTCCAGTTCAAGCCCTCTGAAAACTGGCCTTTGGTTTAAAAAAACCTTACCAAGCAACCTCCTTTCCCTCCAAATGAAAACAAACAAAAAACCCTAATACACTGAAATTATTCAGGGTGTCATCATTTACAAGATTTGTGTTCAAAACTTCAGCACTTCTATGAAAAAAATACAGAAAATACTTCTGACATTTAAACACAGCTTTCTGTTCCAACAAAACTGCACCTTATGGCTCTCAGGTTTCCTCAGACTACTGAGCAAACATCAAACACATGGACTGTAATATTTTGGATTATTTTTTGATAATGATAGATACTGGCAGTGGTCGACATTTTCACTGTAATACTGCAGTGACTAGATGAACTAGTCCCCTCAAACACATTTTAGTGTAAAGCAATATTATGTATTTTGCTGAGTCTAACAGGATAATAAATCTGTACACCTTTAGCTCTAAGTCGACATTGGACAGACTGGGCTGAACTTCCTAATGATCTCTGAGTGATTTTAAGGGGCTAGGTTTCCAAGAGCTATCTATAGATCAAGTGCCTTCTTCACATATTTTCCACAAGACAAGAGAAACGCCAGCATAGCATTTCTCATAACCTGGTAATTGGAACACTGCTTAAGTAACAAAAGTGGGCTCATCTGTACTGTGGACAAAAATGAAATGCCAATTTTTTGCATGATGATTAGAATTGTTAACAAGTAGTATAGCAGTATTACTGGTTTCTGTAATGTCATAGACACATAATTTAAGATCAAAAATTATTTGAAGGTATTTTTCCCTTTATAACCCACCCATATTACTAGCAAGTTCTATTCTGAGTGGTTCTGATGGGTATAGGGAATTTGCAGGTCTATACATTAAAAAAAAAACAACAAACAAAACAACAAAATCCAAAACTTTGGATAATTAGAAATATGAGGCATAGAAAAAAATGAAATTACATTGATCAGGATGTCATTTTAGGAAATACTGTGTTACTTGAACACTGTACTGTTCTAATAATATAACTCTTACTTAAGTGCTTCTTTAGCATTCCTGAATGCCCATGTATAATTCAACATGGTTCTGCTAACTGGTTTTTTTTGAGAACTAGGGACCCTGAGGTACAGTGGAGCCAAATACCTAGTAAGACACTAGAAAACAAAGCAATCACCAGAATTAAAATTCAGTTTTCTCAAATTTAGCATGAATGGTGGTATGAATTCAGGTATGCCTTCACTGTGAGTACATTACTTGACTGGCAGCAGGATGATAATTAGCATGGTGGCTAAACCATCCTCCAGGAACTGGCTGGGAAATAAACCTTCTAGGAGGTGCTAAGGTGAACATTGCCAGGCTGCACTAGACCTTAAAGGCACATCCAGCCCAGTGATCCAACAGAGTTGTAACACCCTGAAAGCAATGTTATTTTCCACCCTTGAAGCACTCCCAGACAACTTCTCTGCCTCCAGTCTTCAAATGTGATATAAGTGATGGTTCTCTACCATTTCATAGGTGACTTTTGGGTGATGAAGACTGGACACCCCTGAGCTAGACTACTTTGTCTTTTTCACGTACTGATGCTCTATCACAATATTTCCACATTTGGCACATACCAGCTACTACAGGGGAAGAAATATAATTGTCTACAGATTACAAAATCAGTTTAAGAAAGCCTTACGCATGTGAATGTTCACAGAAACATGTGCACGTCTGTAAATCTGTGCAGAGACTGCTCATTAAGCTTCTCACAAGAAGCCTTGTAGCTATTAAAATTTCATACATTTGCAAGAGAAGCAGCAATTCTCATTCTATTAAATGTTTAAATTCAGTACTTTTAATTAAGATAAGCTTTCCTGGATCTCCTGTCTTCATTATTCTGCTATAAATGACCACCATCCATAACACAGAAAAACAACTGGAACCTATTAACAAGAACACTGTTCCTTTTGTCAAAATAAAGGATGTAACATTAAATAGAAGCAGCAAGTTTTCTATTTGACACATGGCTGACAGAAGAGCACTCATTACCACTAGTCATGAACAACTTTCCTTCACCCTTAAGCTTACGAATCAAAATAAACAATTTAAAATCAAGCTCCTTTCATTATTAAACCAGGCTAGAAAGGAGGCGTGTTCATCTCTCATCTAAATTACAAACACCTAATACATTTGTGACTCTGCAGAACTCCGACTTCCATGAAGTTTAAAAAAAAAAAAACACCACAAGAAAAACCCACACAACCCCTTTGCCCCTTTAAATGGCATTAGAGATAATGGATAGAGTATTTGGTAAATCCTGTAATTGATGTTGTGGAGAAGACCTATAAACTAAAATGGAGAGGCACCCATTACATTTAAGAAGAGAATAAAGAAGAAAGATTTATACCATGTAAAATTACCTTTCTCTACTTGAAAGCAATATTTCCATTGCACCACTGATAATGCACATCTGCAAAGTACTGTGATTGTGTTTGTTTATATATACAAGACCTTTATGTCAGTGTACATAATGGTTAACTTAGATGGGCAAATATTTATTGACTGCAAAAAAGCTTTCATAATCCAGAAAGTATCTCCATAGCACTGATACGTGGTTTGCTGCACAGAGCCAAAAGTGTATCTATAAATTATGAGACAGTATTTTCACTGACCTTTGGAAAGGTTTTTGGCAGACTATGTCAGGCAAATATATATTTAATGTTAATGACCTTGTACATTTGTGTTCCAATATGACACTCGATGTGTACCAAAATTGTTAAAATATTACTTTTAAACATTTAAAGATTGTATCTAGCAATATATTCTACAGTAGAGAATCCTTTTTATGTTAGCTTTTCAAGGCCACAAGACCAACAGTTATAAACAATTGCTGTAGCACAAATTATTAACCTATTTAATATTGCTTAACTGGCAAAGGAAATAGCATAATTTTATTTAACTTACTTGGCTCAGTTGCTGTATCATTTAGATTCTTAAGTGGAATGTCATCATGCAGTTATGAAATTTGAGCAGAAAAATATATCTGAGATATATTTACTCTTCCATTTACTTTAACAGGGGTTTTGCATGTAAGTTAAGAGTAATTCACATGAAAATATTAAAGCCATTTTACGGCAATAGTAGAAAGTACTTTCTGTATCAGCTTCCTTTTCTAATTTACTCTGAGGAAAACAGATCCTACAAACTTGGCTAGCACATCAGCCAAGATTGTAATCTCAGCCTGGGCAAGACTTTGGAGAAGTACTTTAGTTGGCTGTATAACTCATCCCAGTGTTACTACACTCTTTATGTTCTGAGCATTACATCTGTTCTCTAAATAGATTTTGTAAAAGTGAAAGTGTTTGATACTGCACACCCTGACCATTCAGCTACCTCTATACTGACCTTGTCCACTTTGGAGAGGGGCACAGGAGTTGCACTGTCAGTGTGGAAAACATTCTATAGTTGGTGTTTTATTCCTGTTTTACAAGTTTGACAAAAGACCAATGAACTGATTAGCCTACACAATAAAATGAACTACCATGGTCTGTCAGTTTAGTTTTCACAGCATATTCAAATTGCTTCATATATCATAGTAGCACACTTTCTGTCAAATGATCAATATTATGGGTACTTCCGTGAAAAAGATGGCCAAAGTGATTGATACACTTGCCCTTGATTTAGTAGTTTCTCTTGCTGCAACCAATTCAGAAATCTTTAAGCTGTAGTTCCAGGAAATACACTACCTATGAGGTTATATAACTTCCATGTGAAGAGACAAATGACCATTTTATATATATAAATACAGAACTGCAGATGCAACTTTCTACAGAGCACAAGATTAAGGAATAATAAGGAATAAGGAATCAGATTTATTTCCCTACCAATATTTTTTCATAACTAGAGGAATAAAAAGTACTTTCCCCCTAATTTGTATATTTATATAAAATATATTTCTAACTTTGAATGCTATGGTTTTGCCAAAGCATTACTGAAAATTTTTGCACATGGTCCAGGAAAATTTGCTTGCAAGTTTATATGTAAACATGCTAAATTAAACTCTGAATTATAGTTTCTAAAAATTCCCAGAAGCAATAGCGAGCAAATACATAAAACTTATTCAGTATAAACTGGTACTGAAATGTACCAAGCATTTTATTTTAAAGATGCACAACTTATTCATAAAAAGGTCACTTTCACAGAAATAATGCTAGAAGAAAGCTGTGTTAAGTAACACCTACACAATATCGTTTTTTAATGTACTGAAGATGTGTGTAGCCTTACACCTTGCGGTATTAAGGAAAGCCAAATAGATGGTGAAAGAAAAAACAAAAAAGCAGTTCACCCAAAATCACAGATCATATCACAGCACTGCTGTAAAAAAACCCTGTTTTCTAGCCAATGCCAGACTCTACTTTTACAGGCTCCCACATCATAGCTCAGAGTAACAATAATAGAAGTTATATTGACAATATACTGATAATAGTATACTAAGTGTCTCGGCAAAGTATCATAAGATTAACCTTTTCTGATGCAAGATGTGTGGCTACAGTGACCCAGGAGTGTCATAGCAGAAATCCTTGGCAGGCAGCAGGTGGCAAGGATTTGACAGACAATCCATAAGGCTGCAGAATTCAGGACTTCACTGATGTCATATTTCAGACGGGCAAATACAGATGCATATCCAGAAACTAGTTAAGACCTAACTAGATGCAGATCCAGAAACCAGTTAAGGCCTAACAGCCTTTCTTATGCTTAAGAATCTCCTTGAAGGCAACAAAAATAAAAGCAACGTATCAGATGCCAAACCAACTTCCATGGAATTTTGCCATTTATTTTATCAGGAAAAGAATCAACTATGAAGTCTTAGTGAGCTTTTAAAACTGGCAAAACCACACAAGATGATCTAGAAATGAGAATGTGAGATCCAGTGCAAGAGAGAGATTCAAGTACTTGTTTTTTAAAAAAGCTTACAAAGAAATACTTTTATCCTAGAAACTTCAACGGACCGGAGTCAGAATGCCTGGAGTAGAAAAATTCCTAAGGAAAATTGATTCGGTGATAAGTTATAAAATACTAGCACTTTTGTGGTCAAAATAGAAAGATTAGTAATGTGACACATACAAACAGAGTTTTTTCCTAAATATCTTTGAGATAACATACTGATCCACAAGGTAAAAAAGCTCTTGATCTATTTTTTCAGAGAGGAAACAAATAATTATTTGGTAAAACACATGATTCACTTTTTCTCAGTTCTCCCTCTGAGACTAAAACCAGTATGAATACTTTTTTAAGCACCTCTGTAAACTTTAAAAACCTGCATCAGCTGCATCTCTTCACTCCTAGCTGCTATAGTATTTTGATTTCCAACCACAAGGAAAATACATTATCTGGAGAGTATTTCACAGGGACTACTACAGAGGAGGACCTGGAAAAAAAGTTTTGTGGTAGACAAGTTACTTCACTTTTCCTATATAGAAGGTCATCTTCAGATGAACATATATTTGGTCACAGTCTGCAACTCTCTCTCCATACAAGACTAGAAATGAAATTTTGCTCATAGAAGACCTGAAGATGTGCAGAATTTGACAAAGAAAGCTTTGCAGTCAACCAGGAATGCAATCAACAATTAGAAGAAATATTCAGTGATACAGCTATATATTGTTCAGAAGAAACCTGTAGTGTTCCTTCTGTGTCTGCTGCTCCTTAAGCAGGCTTTAGTATGCCATGGAGATCAGCACACTGCTGGAGGGTATAAAAAGAACAAGTATAAAAAGAACAAGTATAGGTTAGAAGGTGATGGAACACTGTAGGGTATTTTCTGTACACATATTACAAATTTCCTGTTGGAGGCTATGAGGGCAAGGGAGAAGTCAAAGGAAAAATATTTGGGTTAGCTTAGCCAGATTTTAAAACAAATATATGTACCCAACAGTACTCCCTTGTTTGCATTTTCCTGAGAAAGGGTGTGTATCCTGTAATCAAAAAATCTCCAAAGGCACATACAGAAAACCGTTATTTCAGCCACAGTAATAATCTCTAAGCTATTTACCATTTAGTCTATGATGTGAAAGAAACTGGAGTCATATTAGATGCAAAACAAGTCTAAGATGTGCAGGCCTTCTGTCACTTTGACAATAGATGCCTGTGATGCACATATGCTTTGTTTTCCTTATTATAACTTCAGTTAACTTAAGAGGCTTTTACTAAGTTATCTAGGCCTCTAGAATTTCTCAACCAACCTACAAAGCAAGTTTGAACACTGTTTTCATTTCAGGAACTATTTGAAGCATCACAATGATGTTAGTACTCAGGTTTTCATTATAATTACTAGCAGCTTGTGTTACTCTTACGAAATATAGTTATAATGCACATCTTTGAAATCAGTGCTAGTCATGGCAGATGGCCATAAGAAACCTTGCCTATGAAAATATACAAAAGGAACATAGCTCAACCTGAAACTTTATGAAAAGTTTTTTGATATTCTTTAGGATACACTTGACTGTCAATCTAAACATCTGAGAAAGCAATTTTGCTCTTTAAAAAAAAATTTATATGAGCAATAAAGACTCTGATCAAATCTGTTTGCATGCTCAGAATCTGACTCTCCACGAGCCAGTCCTATTTGTTTTCACCTCAATCTTAGGTATGGCAACAACACTCGGAACTATGCCGTGCGAGTTGGAGACTATCACACATTGGTACCAGAAGAGTATGAGGAAGAAATTGGAGTCCAACAGATTGTGATGCATAAAGAGTACAGGCCTGACAGCAGCGACTATGACATTGCACTGGTGAGGCTACAGGGGCCGGAGGAACAGTGTGCCAGGTTCAGTACCCACGTCTTACCTGCTTGTTTGCCATTAAGAAGAGAGAGACCACAGAAAACTGCTCCCAACTGTTATATCACCGGGTGGGGTGACACAGGTAAAAATGTTTTAATGATTTCCACCCACTGATCCTGTTACATGGGGCTGTTTGGAAAAAAAAAATAATCTCAAATATTTAAGATAATACTCAAAAGGGAATACATTTACTCTTTTTATATAGGGGAATATTTTCTCACCTGATCCCTAAACAGAAATGACAACACCTTGTTTACTGAATTTAGTTTGTGCTTGAAAAGTGGCAATTAACCCTGTCGCTCTAAATCACAGAACGAGGCAGTAAGATGGCCTCATTAAGAATGACAAGCATGAATGAAAGCCAGGCATACCCTGCATAGCAGCTTATCACCTCCTGCCTCAGAACATAACTAACAGCTCAAATATATTAAAGGTTTTTAAGGTAGGTCCTATGAATATTTTAGAAAGGTTATTTGAATTACACTACTTCAACAGAAAAATTGATAGAAAATATACATATAATAGAATTTTAGGCATTTTTTGTCTCCCTTATTACCACTGACATTTTCAATCACAAGTTAGATTTAAATAAGATAACATCTTGCCAAAATTTACAAGAGCCACAATGCAATCAGTCAGTATAAGATTCTTCCTCTTCAAAGGTCTTTGTCCTTTAAATGTTTTACAAACTAATAACATGGTTTACTTTCATGTTTTTGTGGTGCTGAATATAGTGCAAGACAGCAACCACACTTGAACCTTTGTTCCACTGACTCATTCAAACTGGCAAGTAGACAAGGCAGCAAGGCCAAATTGTCTTCTTCAAGTTCTTCTACATGCTTTAATCTGTGTGCACAGATGTCTGGGTCACTGTACTACAATAAAGGAGACAGACACAAGTCTACAAAGGGTGGGGTTTTTGCTAAAAACAAAATTGCAAATTGCTAATTCATTGCCTAGCTCTATTTTTTTACACAATTCACTGAAAGTTCTGCAATACCGTTAACCTAGGACATCTATTTAAGGAAACATTAACCACAGCAATTGACTTTAATTACAGTAAGAAATTACATCATTGCAGTACTTCAGTTGAAATTTCACACTTACTATATGAATCATAATTACTTTGCAAGTATTAAGGTTTTTAGAAAAACCCAACCCAACACTGGCTTTGTTTTCCCTTGTTTCCAACTGAAAAAGAGGTGCTAGCAATAGAAAAAAAGCCAAATGATTTAGATCTTCACCTTTTATAAGCAGAACACTGCTTATACAATGCAGGATTCACTACAGATAAAGAAAATGAAAAGGCAAGTTCTGGCCTCCCCCAAAAAATGAAAATTAGTGTCATTAGTACTCCGGTACACAGAAGTTGCCAAGATTGTAAAAGACTCAAAATGATACCAGAGTACACTTGGGCTCAGAAACTTTAGCTTCTCAGGTGATGTAACAAGAAAGTTTGCATGTAATTCCAGGGCATAAGCCTGATGGTTGGCTGGATGCTCTGCTTGGAAGCCGACAGAGAATCTGTCAGGCTGAGTGAGAGTAAATTTGAACTGGTGAACTTGAAGTATTGCTACAGCTTTAGTCTCTACTGCTCAAGACTCCTAAAAATAGCTTCCTCATTTAAGTATTAAGGCATGTGTTATTGTAGAAGACACAGAAAGTTTATCTGGAAAAAAACAAAACCCAGCCTTGGAAAGGTCCAGTGAACAAGAGGAGTAAAGTGACACCTTACATGTTCAACTCTTTTTCTTTCCAAAACAAAATCTATATTCCATATTTACAATATCTACATAGTATTTTAGCATTATATATAATGGACAGTAGATTTTTCAGTATTTAGTCTTGTTTTTGGTTATTTTATTTAATGACAAAGAGTGTGAAAGACTGACAGCAAAAATTACATTAAGTCTTATTTATGTTTCCAAGACCAAGCATCTTAATGAGACAGTAATTTGGGTCCTCTTTTCAGGAAGGGCTTATTCAAGGACACTACAACAGGCTGCCATCCCCTTACTTCCCAAGAGGGTATGTGAAGAGCGTTACAAAAGAAGATTCACAGGAAGAATGCTCTGTGCTGGAAATGTTCAGGAACAGAAACGTGTTGATAGCTGTCAAGGAGATAGTGGCGGACCACTGATGTGTGAACGTCCAGGGGAAAGCTGGGTTGTGTATGGTGTGACCTCCTGGGGCTACGGTTGTGGAGTTAAAGATTCTCCAGGTGTCTATACAAAAGTATCATCTTTTGTACCCTGGATAAAAAGTGTGACCAAACTATGAATGACCATAATGGAAAACAAACTTTATTTTAAAAGTTTGAGGCAGGACAACTTGAACAGCACAATCAGTGCACAGCTGGGGCCCACAGTGTGGCACATTTTCCTGATTCATGTGTTTTTGTTAAATCCAAGCTATATACACACAATGTTTCCAGTTCAGGATTACTATCCAAACAAAACCCTTCTGTGTTAAGGAAGTTTATATATTGCATGAACAAGCTACCATGTATCTAAGCTGAGGAGAAAAGTGATAGCCAGCTTAGAGTAACACTGGAGCAGGAGGACAGCTGGAGAGTTCACCATGAGATTCACTACCCAGAGGAAGACCGTAGTAGCTCCAAGCTATTTATTCTCCAGACTTATCTAGAATTAATTACAGATCCCAGCCTAGTTTATTTAATCAGTTGTTGACTGTTTTACTGTTGTTCCTATGATCTTACACTCAGCCCTCTAATTTTGACTCATCTTTCATTAGCTAATGAGACCATTAGCAGGTTGATTCTTTGTAAGTAATTCTGAGTATGTATTAAACATTAGAAGAAAAATAATTGTGAATAATCAGCTCTCCAGCTATTCTGACAACTGTTCTCACAGCTTACTGTGCCTAAAGTACATTCCCAAGTAAAACACGCAGTACGCTGGAAGTTAGTTGCCCTGCAAACATCCTGCACAGCTGCAAGAGCTAGATCAAAAACAAATGACCTATTTTCTTTCCTCTAGACAGATACACTTGTACTCTTTCTGAAACTCATAATTTTTAGTACATACAGCATTTCAGAGAGAATTTACTTTTCCTACTTGCCACTAGCTGTCAGTACAGTATCAGACAAACATCCCAATTCTCTCATTGATGGTTTTGGAGGGGCTTTACTCAAGTAACACTGAGAACTTGTGACAATCTTACAAGAGGAAGTTGTAAGTATGTGCAATGCAAATCCTGGAGATGTTGAGTCTTAAACTACTATTCTTTACAAGATATTTAGACAATTCTCTCTTGCTTAGTTGCAACACTGGTTCAGACTGATCTTACAGGAAAGGTGAGAGCTAGATAGTTTTCAGTGACTTATGAAGTATTCACATATTTTGATTACATTTAATTCCTTTTACAGATACTATTCCCCACACTATGAAAACCTTAATGGTTTATTATAAAAATGCACTGATAAAAAGTCACTGTTGATGTACAAGACAAATACGAACCAACTTGCTATCCTTATATAAAGGGCCACCCCACTTAACTTACCACCCAGAACACAGGAAGTAATCACCATCTTAGGGCAACAACAACAGGTATCAGGCTTGAAAATCTTTGAGACTAACTACAGTCAAGAGGGAGACAGGAAAGTTCAGTGCTACCTCTATGACCCCTGCCAAAGGCCATTCTGCATGTGTGCTCTACACATTACATTAACAAGCATGCTTCTTAAAAAGCAGAACTGAAAGCTCTGTGGGCCATAAAACACTCCAGTGTGGCAGATGTGTGTCACCATAGACTGACTGTGCAAACTGTGACTACCGGTGACTGTTGTCCTATCCCCAAACACTGGCTATCACAGTGTTGTGCGGCGTTTTGTGAACAAAGTGGTATGCTTGTACTCACGTTGTAAGTGGGCAGTGATTCATTTCTGTATCGTTCTATGTGTTCTAAAAAATATCCAAGGCAACTCAATTTGCATACAAAAATGACAACATTGCAGAAGCCCATGAGATTGAAGACTTAGCCCTTAATTTCTCTCTGACCTCAAACTTAGTTTTCAAGGGTCATGACTAGTTTAAATATCTTGTTGGAGCTGGTGCTAAACTAGTACATGAGGTGCTTCAATGTATTTTAGTTTTCTGTAATTCCACACTATTTGAAATAGTGTGAAATATTTTATTTAAAAATATGTCCAAAATCATAGTACTGTGACCACCTACTCTTAGACCTGCTAGTGAACTTCAAACCCATTTATGTTTTTACTTATTGCACACAGCCCTATTAATTAAAGGGGAAGTAAATCTGTCAAAATATATCTACTTGTACCATCAAAGCTTTGCTATACAAGACCCATTATTTTGAGACTTGTGGTGAAGTAGGCTATATAGTGCAATACATGTGTTGTGTACAGGGAAAATAATTTTTAGAAGTTGTACCACAGAAATATGATACCTGGGGGGGGGATCAAGTCTGCATACTAGATGTAGTATTTAGTACAGTAGATTTGCTCTTTTAATAGGATGCTTTATTAGATTTTAAAATGTTGCACTATCATTTTCATGAGAGAGCATGTCTTTTCAGTTTCGAACATCAAATGAAATTGTGTTTATTATGCCATTCTAATTTTTGTTCAATGAGCCTGATGATGCAAATGTATCCAATAAAAACTGCCACACTGACCACAACTTTTATACATTAATCTTGTGGATAACATACAAGCAGAAGCTGCAGGAACAGCAGCTGGGTAAACTCCATGTGAGCTTTCTTTAGCAGAAAAGGGTTCTCTTGATAGTATTTTCTCCAAAGCATGTAAGATTTGAACTATTTTCTCTGAGAGAAGTTTGGTTTGTATGATGGAATTCCCCGTGCTTTGTGTGCTTTAACTTAGACCAGTTAGGTATGTCATAAGTAAGTTTATCCTACAGTCTTAAAACTGCTCAGTATTTTTTTTGACCCTTGCTGTTCAAAATCTTTAACGCATACAAGCTGGTAGAAAAGCCTGTTCTTTGGCCTACGCTAAGGGTTTTTAGTATTAAGCAGGTTGGTCACAGTGTAACAGCGGCATAAAACTAAGAAAACACCCAGCACTTCTATTTCCAGATTAGATGACCATCTTAAACACTGATGTGTAATCTATCCAGCTTCCCCAACATTGTGAAGATTTATAATTAGATGCAGTCCCCTTGACTTTCCCCGAGTTTTTGTCCATTTTCCAGAGAATATACAGAAAAGTAAGACAAACAGAGAGCAGAAACATGACTGCAACTGACACAAAACCCATTTAACAAGCATTTACCTCAACCCTGAACTCCCCAAAGTGAAAGGGCACATATCTGTAAGCCACAGATAAACCAAGATCCCATTTTATGATCATTATATGCAGAATATCTGTAACCTCAGCTTTATTTCCAGAAAAACTCACAGCATTACAATAACTTATACTTAACAAGTCAGTCCTGAATCAATGTTTTCCATCATCTTCAATGTTCCTGCAACCATTTCACACTTTTGAAGTGCTAGAATATTTATGCTCAAGAAGGTTTTAATGCTGTTACAATTTCAAAGCAACAATCACAAAACATAATATAAAACACTAAAACCATTAGGCTCGAGTAGCAGATCCCAGTAGAAAGAAACCACCCAGAAAACAAGAATTTTGTGGTATCAGGAAAGAAAAATGGGTTTGTGCTCCAAGCTGCTAGCTAAATTAACTAGTTAAGTTAATGCAGTTAACTAAGGTAGTAGAGACCAGACCTACCTCATACACGTTAGATACCTGCTCAGATGCAATAGTTCCTATTCCATTTATTTAGCATGGAACACAGAAACTGCCCATGTAAATTCCTGCAAATATAACACCAAGCAACCACAGACAGGAAAAATATGACTTCGGAATTTGGAAATAAGTATTTACCTTTATAACAATGTAAGGAAAAAACAACCGCATTGGTTGAAAGTTGGAGAGGCACGAGACACTGATGTAACTACAGAGAGAACAGTGTGCAGAAAAATAAGGAGCACCTATAAAGGCTAGAGCTAAGATGCAACAGGAATAGATTGAAAAGATGGGAAACAGCTGTTTGGGAAATGGGAATTAAATTTTAAGAGAAATAATGACAAACAAGCCATCCTAAGCCATATGGAAATAAGGAAGTCACATCTTTTAATAATACCTCTATTGTACTCAAGTACAGAAAGCAGATTTCACTACCCTCTGTGCATGTGACTTAATGCTCATGAAAAGCTTGCCATAGGACAGGCTACAGAACCTCACTAAGCACTCAAAAATAGTGAGATACCCACAGCAAACATTATAGTTTTTACTTTTGCATTTGACCATAATCTTGAAAATTAGTTTTTCCTTCTCTTGATCCAAACACAGTTTTATCTTTGCAAGTTCTAAATACTTGATGAAGAGCTAAAAATAGAAAATCTAACCTGCAGGCCAGATCAAGCCACCAGGCCAATTTATTCAGCCTGTGACCTGCTTGCCACCACCTGTTCCCAAGAACCTTAAAGCTACTCCCCCACGAATCATGGGGCTCAATGATCACTCAGGTGGAAATACCAGTGACCTCATCACTTAGCTCACACAATGGACTAGCAGGACAGCTACATGGCTCACCTCTAAGTTCACACAGAGAGATCCTCCATTATAGAAGGCAGAGACAGAACAGTCACTTTTCAAAGGGCAACTTTTGAAAAACAAACAAACAAAAAAATCTCAAGATAATTATCATGCGCTAGGGTTGTTAAAATAGATTAAAAAGGCAGCTGCTGTATTTTAACCTTTTATCAGACAAGGGAATTGGGGTAACACATCAGACAACCACATCAGTAAAATGCCATACAGTAGCTAAAAGCAAACACCAGAAAAGTCTAAACTTTTCAGTATCATTTCAAGTGAACACAACAGAAAAATGCTTCTCTCCAGACCTTCATGTCACATTCTTGAGCTTTGTATTCTGTGTTAATCATTTTCATGCATTCTAGATCCCTGGAGAAATAGATCCCCAGCCCTACTCCTCTTTCTTCCTTTTGATGTGCCTACACCTGATTTTCTTCATGGGATCAAACCCAGTCACACAAAAAAAATTGACCTAAAAACTCAGGAAGCCATTTTGCCTCATGGTGCCTGCCAGAGGAACAACCACACAGTGCTAGCACTCTCCCACCCACACCTTGTCCCTGGGATAGCAGCAGCTCTCTCCTGGCAACTGCCCTTGTAGAATAGATTAACTTACTTTCCAAAAGCACTAATGTTACTACGGAAGTCCACCCTTCTTGGAGTAAAGGAAATTCGTAGTACATGCTCATCATGACTGTTGGCTACCAGGCCAGGCAGCCACAAATTTGGATTCCTAAGCAGTAAAGATGTCATATGATAGGGCTGTACACAGAGCTGTTTCAAAGGAAAAAGTAATCGCACACCACCAATTAAACAGGTGTAGTACCACTTATTATAGCTCCACACAGAATATACAATCAGCCATACTTTGGCAATGGCAAAAAAAAGCACATGCATGAAAAAAAAAAAGCCACACCAAAATGTTTCCTGTGACAGCTCCCTAATCTCCCCATCAGTCTATTCCAGTGTGACTTACATGAACATCTGAAGTCATTTCCTCAGATCTAATCCACGTTGTAATTAAAGTCCAAAATTCTACCCCCGTCCACTTCAAATAGGAATCTCCCCTGACCAGTTGCCAAGTACTTAGAAGTTATTGCATTGCCCACTGATCTCAGTTCTAGCTTTACAGATTTTGTTTCCCAGCTCTTTTAAATACTTCTTTCCCCCAACTTTTCAGTTTGCAATGATTTGTGAAAAAATTCCTTATTAACTAGAAGATACTCTACAAAAGACTGTGCCAGCAGAGCTGGTATTAGCAAAGACAGTAAATTTACTTGTAAGTAAAACATGTACCTAGTCTGATTCTGCAATGATTCACTATCTACTAGAGGTCCACAGATTCTTTGCTTGAATATGGATTAAATAAAAGATCCCTAAGTAACCAAAACTGAGATAGCAGCTATATTCAAAGTCACACGTCCTCCCCTGCAGCAGTAACCTCTCATTAAAATCACATGACTTCTGGAACAGCTCCCAGACAATGCATTGCATCAGCCACTGCTTTGCCCTGAAACCAGTCTTAAGGCCCAACTACCAAAAGCTGTATTCCCCACAACAGGCAGATCTGGCATGTATCAGTACCTGCAATGAACATGCCCAGGTCTAGTCTTGGTTATCAGTAGTCTTGTAAGAAAGAAGCGACACTTGCAGTTAAAGTTGATGTCTCTTTATTAACTTATTCATACATTTTAATGGTTTACATTGACATACATACTAAAATTATGACTGTAAATTTCACATTTATTTTCTACACTTCAGACTTACCTTCAGCTTAGGTTGTTGCGAAGAGTATACGGGAACTGCATTTCTAACACATTAAACAGCAGAAGAGCCACCACTGAAGGTGCACAGAACCAGATTTAGTCATACTGCAGCACGGTCAGCCACATGACAGACTGCAGTACAGTCACTGAACTACTGAGGGCATATTGTAATTGCTTAAGACTTGGTGACAGCCCAAAGATAGGTGCAGCAGAAGACCCAGGAAAGCAGCACAAAATGAGCTAATCTAGTCACGCTAATTGTAAGCAGCAAAGGCTAACTTTAGGCACAGTAAGCTACATTCCAGCCCCTCTATCTAAAGACGAGAGATGGGCTGCATAACACCCCATTTGGGCTCCAAGTCTGAACTTTATCAAAACCCACTTGTTTGTGTTAAGTCTTAAGCAAGATTAAGGTCTAGCCTAGAATTAGCTTTCAGTAGCTCTACTCGATAACCAGAAAGACTATTGCTTGCAAAAGGCATCATCATTTCCAGACGATTAGACAAATCCACCCTACTCTAAAAGTTCTAGTCACAGCTACTCATAGAATTCACATGTGGAATTTAGCCCCATCTTCTTCTGTCATCACAACTCAAGAGTTTTTCCCCTGTAAAAACAAGTTTGAGGCAGTTTAATATTGCTACCAGAAACACATACAACACAGCAAATATCACTGAACAACAGTATGATGCCCTCCTAGGAGTTGTAAACTGCACTGAAACAAAGCCATTAGTGTCAACTTGACAGAGAGAGATCTCTACTCCTGCAGTTGCAGATTACTCTTAGTACTCGCTTTGTTAGATCAGAAACATGTTTATTTAGACAGACGTTCTTCTTGTGTAGATATCTCTGAGAAATCTGTGGATTCGGATGCCTCCAGTTTGGCAGGCAAAAGCTCTGGTAACGCACTTTTTATCGTAATTCCATATTCCTACTGTAATACATCTGCACCCAAGCCCACTTCTTCCTAATCGCATTAACTTATGGCCTTAGTTATATTTTTCTCTCAATAAAACACACACGCAAACGAAGTATGCCATAAAATCAAAACATCAAACCTATACCTTGAGTTCAACAAACAAATATCAGTAGCTTAGTCGATAAAGTAAGTTAGCAAATCGGCATTATCCCAACCACTCACCTTAAACAGGGTATTACGTAACACACACCCAGTCACATAGTTTTTGGAGCAGATGATCTTCAGTGGCAACAGGTACGTCTCCGGACTTTCAGTTTCTGCGCTCCCAAGGGGGAAAAAAAAAAAAAAAAAGGAGAACATGTTTAAAAACTAGGTATTAACTGCTTATTGAGAAAAGCAAACAAAAAACACAAAAGGGGGGAGGCGGCAAAACCCGCGATGGAGCACACCTCAGCCGACTCGGCCTGTTACTTGCCACAGTCAACGACTAATGCCCACAAAAGGGTAAAAGTTTTGCCAATTAGCAAGGAACTGCTCTTCCATGCCTAGGAAGGGAGACAGCCACAGGCGGCTGCCCCCATGGAGTCATGGATCACCCCTCCCCACACTCCACCACGTGGCGGCCGCCATTTTCCCCC